AGTTCGGAGTAGAATGATGGAGAAACAGAAGGAGAGATGGGGGTGGGGAAGAGTTAAGAAGGAGGAAACAGTAACAAGCATTTCTCTGTTTTTATCAGGGTGCCCCGGGCCTGGTCATTTTTTCATGTTCTTTCCATCATCTCCCCCTCTTCCCCCCAACCTTTGGATTATGTAATGAGTAGCATAGTTTTTACTTTACTAACTAGAAAGGAATCTGTCGGGAAATTCTTCCCATGTGAAGAAGTTCATGCATAGTTTAATATATTTTGTCTAACTTAAATGGGCTAAAATGATCGTGAGATTAGAAGCAGTAGCAAAGTTTCTTGAAATAAATACTTTAAAACTTTAAATCTCTTTAGGCATTTAAAATAATAAAAAATTTGAAGTGTGAACTACCCACATTTGCCTAATAACAATTTCTGAACCACAATGAAGAAGCTTTATACAACCGAGCAAAAACTAAGCTTGTGAAGGAAACTTTCTTTACAATCATTTAAAAATTCTTGAATCCTTCCTTCTACCTTGGTTTTTCAGACAGAAAAAGATGCTATAGCTGTTCTATGAATTCCCAAATACAAAAAATCTCTTCCATTCCCATTCCACGTTATTTTGTAGAAGAGGCAATAAAAAGCACCGAGTTCATTCACAAAAGTAGAGGCTCTCACCAGGGAACATGAGCAGTAAATACATAGAAACTATTTGTTACTACTAAAGTAGGTGGTTTAACTATAAAAATCAATTGTTTTTTCTTCTTGAATAAGCAAATACAAATAAGGAGAACTAAATTTCTTAGATGTAAAGGTCCGATTCCCCCCTTATTAGAGCGTGTCCTTTTTCTCCACCCTGCCAAATTACTCCGTATTCATAGACTGTAGTTTTAGAGGAATTAAATAAAATGAAGTATATAAGGAATGGGCTTTGAAAATCCTCCAAGTGCTCTAAAAAGGTTTTGTTGTTGTTCAGTCGTGTCTGACTCTTCGTGACACCATTTGGGGTTTTCTTGGCAGAGATGCTGGAGTGGTTTGCCATTTCCTTCTCCAGCTGATTTTCAGATGAGGAAATTGAGGCAGACAGAGTTAAGAGACTTGCCTAGGGTCACACAGCTAGTAAGTGTCTGAGGCTGGATTTGAACTAAAGAATTTGAGTCTTCTTGATTCTAGGGCCAGTGCTCTATCCACGGTGCCACTTCAGTGTTCAAAAATTACTGAAAAATAATTGTTGTTTGTAAGTATACATGTCACCCACAGGCATAAATAGTGGCATATTTTACAAATTGGGAACTCCTTAGGGGCAGAGTGCCTGTTTTGTTCATTAAAGCATCTTGCACCCTGCCCCTCCCTACTAGGGCTTTATACAAAGTCAGTATTCAAGCTAAATTTATGGAATTAATGTTATGCTATAATCCAACTGTAAACCCCATATATCACAAACTATGCCTATTAAGAGAAGTTTTAAAGCTGACAAAGCCTGCGGCAGCACCCAAATCCCCATGGGCATTTATTCTATTGCTCTAATTATTAATTCTTTTATCCTACATTCTACTGGAATTATGTAAATTGGTGCCCATCTTATTTGTCCAATTAACAAGATTGTTCCTTTAAAATCACCCATCATCATATTTAGCCTCGGCATTTTTCTTTACATAGGCCAATTACGGTAAGAGCTGTGAGCACCAAAGGGGCTTGCTGAGGACTTTGGAACATGTCCAGAATTCTAATGGAAACATTCAAGAGGCCAGGGCTTGAAAAAGCAAAGCCGATAATTCCAAAGGTTTGTTGAATCTTAGTTTTACATGCTATAGACATGTATCTCCATCTGTTAAACTTCAAAGGTTTTTTTTGTTGTTGTTTGTAAGTACTTGTTATGATGACTTGTTTCCTTTCCAGTCGTTTTTCAGTCATGTCTGACACTTCGTAACTCAATTTGGGATTTTCTTGGCAAAGATACTAAAGTGGTTTGCCATTTCCTTCTCCAGCTCATTTTATGGATGAAGAAACTGAAGCAAATAGGCTTAAGTGACTTCACTAGGGTCACACAGCTAGTAAGTGTCTGAGGCCAGATTTGAACTTAGGTCTTCTTGACTCCAGGCTGGCACACTATCCACTGCACCAACTAGCTGCCCAGCTGCCTTAGCTACCTGATGGCTCAGGTGAACACTTAATGTAGATCTGTCAAGAGAATCATTAAATGGTACATTTCCTATGTACTTCTACAATTTCCTCATCCATTCATATGAGACACCTGTCAAACAGGAGATCTAGTTTTTTATTCTGGAAGAAATAGGGTCCCCCTAAAGCTTTTGGAGAATGAGATCAATATGGTCAGACTTGTGCTTTAGGAATATCATAGTGAATAAAATGCATGGGAAAGAATAACTCTCATACATGCATCTATACACACACATATGTGTCTGTATATATGTGTGAATATTACATATGTGTATATATGCACATTATATATAATTTTATATAATTAAATCTAACATATTACAATAATATAATATTAATACTATTATGAATAATAGCAATAAATAATGAAATAAAATATTGTATTATAAATAATATAATAAGCATTTGCTAAACACTTTCCATACATTAGCTCATTTAGACCACACAAAAACTCTGAGGTAAGTACTACAGTAATATGATTCCCAGTTTTCAAGTGGGAAAACTTAGAGCAATTAAATGACTTGCCCATGGTCACACAACTAATAAGAATCAGAAGTGGGATATGAGCCCTAGTCTTTCTGATTTCAAGTCAGCTACAGAGACAAATCTGATAAAAACTCCCAGAAGGAAGGTGCCAACTTGCCACGGCAGCCTTTAGTAAAAAGACGTGATTTTTGGATGACTTACATTTGACTGTGATTATTTGTAAATTTTTGTAGATTTGGTTTGCATTTAATTACTTTCTAAATTTACTCCTGAGGCAGGGAGTTCCTTCTGCGGACCTGTAGAGGGCGCTGCTGGCAGTCAGGACGCTCCTCTAGGACCTTCCAGTGTGTGAACGGATAAGAGCTAAGTATTTACAAGCTGCCTCCAGAAATGGCAAACACAGCCCAGGTCACAGGAACGATTCCATTTCTGTCAGATAGCCAATGGAATATCATTTAAATGCCTTCCTTAGAAGCCATGGCTCCTCCAGAGTTGGGCCGCTGTTGTTAACCAATCTTATGTTATCTTTAGTCTATCCGCGTTTAGTAAAAACAACAAAGAAGTCAGTTTTGGAAGAAAGTCCTGGACTAATATCCTCAATTAGCATAACAACTTCTACACAAGAAAAGCCAAAAGTAAGAGTCTGCTTTTTGAAAACTTAGTGAAACTGCTTAGCTAAAAAGTCAGGAACAAAATCCAGATTTGGGCATAGACCTCTCCTTCTCCCCCACTTCCCGCCAGTTGTATGACCTGTCTAAACGCAGCTAATACATTTTCCTCTGCACATCACAAAGTTGAATATTCAAAAGGGAAAATAGCCTATTACATTTGCTTTTCTAGATAACATAGAAAATCAAGGGATTTCTCATCTTCCTTAAAAAGAAAACCCTTGGTATTATAGAAATCACACTAACCAAAAGAGGTCAAAAGCACAATTCTAGAATCTCTAAAAACTTAACCAGGAAGGTTGTGAAATGATCAATAAATCATTACTAAAGATGAAGAGTGGCCAAATATGGTGGAAAGAGTTCTGGATTTAGACTCAAAGGACTTAGGTTCAAATATCAACTGCCACTTGCTACCTGTGTGACCTTGTGTATTTCGTAGAAGGTCCATTCCAGCCCTAAATCTAGGCTCTAAGGATCCTTCTGATTCTGTCTCTGCTCTGTCATTTGCATTTGTCCCCTCTTCCCATTTCTCACTGCAACCACCCTTATTTGGGGCCATATCTTTTTTCACCTAGATTAGTCTAATAACCTCCTAATAGTTTATTTGCCTCCAATGTCTTTCTTATCTAATCTAAATTGTCTGGGTTCACTACCAATTCATGTTATCTCATCTCTGTGGGCCCTCAGTGCTACACAATATTTTTTTATTCTTTCTTAACTGATTCTCTATCACTCTCTCCACAATAACTATTTCAACACTTTCTCCTCTCTCCTCAAACCTTCTATACCACTTTATGCTAGCTGAAGCAGTGGGGCAACCTGAGGGAGAGACAGGAAGCAGCTTGTGTCAGGCAAATCAACATCATCACTTTGAGCACCATGTCCCCTCAGCTCTGATGCAGACAGCCAAGAACCCTGAGCCTAAGACTTTTAGGAATAGGAGTGTTCTATAATAGCAGACCTGCTTCCAGACTAACCCCCATAGCTTTAGGGGAAAAATCATTGCGAAGAGGAGGCCCACCTTTTTCATTACCACAAGTAATAACTGATGACCAACTACCAGAAATAGGTAGATAGGCACAGGACCTCTGAGAGAGGCAGGACCCTCTAGATGACCAGGCCTGCTTCCAGCCCAGGCCTCCTCCCCCCAGCCATTATCTAGGAAAGCAACTCCTGTGGAGAAGGGGCCCAGACACCCCCACACTGTCAACCATCTGCCATAAAAAGGTCTGGCAAGCCAGCCTAGCTGGAATTGCAAGGCATCCTGAAAAAGAGACAGAAGACAACATGTGCCAGGCAAGTCAAATCACCACCACCACCACCATCTTGAATGCCATCTCCCCTCAGACCCTGATGGGGGCAGCCCAGGATTCCAAATTCAGGAGTCTTGGGATTAGCATTGGTTCCAGGACAGTGACCTCCACCAACAATCCTGGGAAGCAACACCCAAAAAGATGCAGCCTGGGAAATGCTCCTAGTGGTGCTTTAGCCACAGCTAACTGAGGACCCAGAAAGGAAAGTTCTTACCACCAATGTCCTTGGCATTGTCAAACAGTTCAACATCAAAAACTGATGTGATTTTATTAGTGGAAATGACATTAAAGAAGCATTACCACCTGTTTTGTCCCTGCATCCTAAGGACCAGGAGACTTTTCCATCTAACTTGCAAGTGAAACCTTCTGTAGATGTTGTCTCCCTAATTAGAATGTGAGCTTCTTGAGAGTATCCTTTTTTTTACCTGTATTCCCAGTTGCTAAGCACTTAATAAATGCTTTATTCAAGATTTCACCTCCTGTTTTGCTGAGAAAATAGAAGCCATTTATCACAAACTAACTTTACTTCCATTATCCCATACCTCAAACATCCTCTTCACCCCCCTCCATTCTGTTCTCCTTCTTATAGTCCATTCTCTGACGACTACATGCCTCTTCTTATGAAGGCCAACCACACCTGTCTTTTCTAGGCATTTATCTCCTTTATCATTGCCTCTGTCTCACTTATAAACTCTCCTTATCTATGAGTTCCATACCAGACTCCTACAAACATATCCAGGCCTCCCTAATCATGGAAAAAATCTTCATTTTATCCTATCTTTTCCTAGAAGGAGCCACTTACATTCATTGCTTATATTTGCTCATCTCCCAATATTTCTCATGCTCTTGCAATCAATTGAAACTGGTGTCTTCAAGGTTACAAATAATCTCAATTGCTAAATCCAATGAACTTGTTGCAGACCTCCTTCTACTCGACCTCTCTGCAACTTTTAACACTGTCAACCACTCACTCCTACAGAGTCTCTTTTTCTGGCTTCTCTGATACTTCTCTCTTGGGTCTCTTTCTACCTGTTTTTGTTGTTCCTCATTAGCTTCCTCTGCTTGACCATCCTCCCATTCCTACTCACTGTGTGCATATCCCCCAAAGCTCTGTTCAGAGCCCTTTTCTTTTTGTCTCTCTGCACTCTCTCCTTTGCTCATCTCATCATCAAAATGACTACAGCTACTCATTCCTCAAAGTTCCAGTCCTGAATTACCTGATAGTAAATGTGTAACTGACTAGTCAGCCCAAGGCACTTCACATTCAACATGTACAAAACAGGACTCATTCCATTATCTCCAAACCAATCCCTCTGACAAATTTCCCCATTTCTATTGATGACTCCATCATTTTTTGAGTCACCCAGATTTACAACCTTGGGTTCATCCTTTATCTTCCTCCTCCTCATCCCCCATATCCAAGCAGTTCCAAAGCCCCTATCTATCTCTACAACATCTTTCATATCCATCACTTTTTTTTTAGCTTTTTTTTTTTTAGGCAAACTTGCCCAGGGTCACACAGCTAGTAAGTGTGAAGTGTTTGGTCTGAGGCTGGATTTGAACTCAGCTTCCCCTGACTTCAGGGCCGGTGCTCTATCCACTGTGCCACCTAGCTGCCTCCGGAAGAGGATTTTAATAGGTAAATAACATCTTAGTGTGATTCTGAAAGTATATCCCCCACCTTTATGTTGGTACAAGTGGTCTCCCACCTGTGGAATGCACTTCCTCCTCACTTCCACTGGCAGAATCCCTTGCTTCTTTTAGGACACAACTCAATATCACCTCCTATACACATGAGGCTTTTCCTGAGTAAGCACCTCACCCACTGACTGGTAAAGTTCTCTCCCTCTTGAAATCACTTTGTATTATTTTATATATCCTTTGTATTTACTTATCTGTATTCCAGTTGTGCCCCTTCAATAGAATTTAAGCTCCTTGAGGGCAGAGACTATTTCATTTTTGTCTCTATATCCCCTGTGCCTAGCAGAGTGCCTTGAGCATAAGAGGCTGTTAATATATGTTTATTGAATTGAACCCACTCTTCATGCTGCTGCCAGAGAAAATAATCATAATGTAACACTGACCATGTTACTCTTCTATTCAAAAACCTTTAGTACTCCCGATACTCACAGAATAAACCTCTGATCCTGGCATTCACAGTCGTCCACACTTTGGTTCCAAATCACCTTGTTAGTCTTATATCACCATTTGTCTTCATGTCCTTACATTCCAGGCAAACTGGATGACCCTCATTCATTCTTCCCTCTCCCATGTCTATGTCTTTGCTCACACTGGTTCCCATGCCTAGAATGGAATCCCCCATTCAACATCATCTGTCAAAGTCTGTCCTGACATCCCTCAGGGCCAACTTGAATACTACTTCCTCTATGAAGCCTTTCATGACCACCAACTCTTTCACTCCCTCCCCCAGGTGAAAGTAATCTTTCCCTATTCAAAATTCTCATAGCAGTTTGGCTGGACCACTCCTAGGGACTCATCTCACTCCCCTTGGTGACATAGTTTTCCCACTTAAGAGTGTATATTTTAACAACAGAGTACCATATCATATCCTTGTGTCCTTAACACACTGTCTCATAAATAGTAGTCATCTAAAAGTTTGTGAGATGAAATGAATTAAGTGTTAACATATATCGGGTGAAACTCACTTCGCTCCTGGAGGCAACAGCTCGGTGGAGTGGGGTCAGCCACATGTTGTCCTTGGCATTTACACGAGCCCCTGGAACAGAAGGGCATAAGTTAGTACATAAAATATTGTCAATGGAGTAATCTACTAACATTGTTTAATTCAGTTACTACAGTATCTTGCTCTTATTTTGATGGTACTATCTTCACCTGCTTTACTTTGAGTCAATTCTGTGCATTTAAGAGTAGGGGTCTTTAAGTAGTTTATATCAGAGATGTCAAACACGTGACCAGCAACACTCTCCAGGCCAGCCAAACCAGATTAAAATGTAAATGGAAAATATTTAACAAAATATATGAAAATGTAATCAAACATTCCATTTTAAAACTAAGTCAATATGCAGCCTTCAGGGATCCTTACATATGAATTAGTGACCACCGTTTCTATTTGAGCTTGATACCACTGGTTTAGATGTGTACCAGGCCTCATGGTATTCAGTAAAAGGGTGGGCAAATGTTAGAAGGAAGATGTGGTGGGAGTTAGCAGGAGCAGTTCAGAGAAGGTGGATCAAGTTGAGATGCTCTGGGACTACCTGGAAGATTAGATTCTTAGCAGTAAAGAAATCAGAGTGAAAATTACAATTAGGTTATTTAACACGTGTACAGCACTGATTAATGTATACAATATGCTTGGAGCTGAATATACCAATTCAAAGAGCCTTCAACTCATTATGTGTTTAAGACATTTAAATTTCAATCAAACCTGGGTCACATTGAAGTCTTATCTACTCTCATCTAAAGGGGTAGACTAGGGGTCGTTTGAAAGAATCAGGGGAGAAAAGGGTAAGTAGTTAAGCCTAGAACCAAAAAAATCTACTACAATACTCAAGTAACTTACAGAAACTGCAGGAGAAACCCAGTTCTTCAAGTTTCTTGGTATTAGGAGAACCTGAACTATTCCAGATTTTTCATGGCTATTGCCAACCCTACTTAGCCAAACAGGCTCAAACTCCAGGAACAGACCAGATCAACCCAGAAACAATTCTCTGTGAGGTACAGCACAACCATGAAGACAATTATTTCAGAAGCAACAGAATTTCAGAATCTCAGAGCTGGAGAGGGCCTTAGGGACCCACTAGTTAACAGTAATTCTCACTACAATATTCTTGACAAGTAGTTGTCTGGCATCTAGTTAAAGGCTTCTAAGGCAACTCATCTAATTTGGGATATCTCTAATTTTTAGGAAGATATTTTTTTTCTGAAGTCAAGCCTAAAGCTGTCCCTCAGTAGCTTACATACATTGCTCCAAGTTTTGCCCTCCAAGGCAGAACAAAGTTTAATCCGTCTCCCATATGACAACTTCTCAGATGCTTTAAGGAAAGCCAACCTCCCTTGTCTTCTCTTCTCCTGGCTAACCATATTCATTTCCTTCCTGGGATCCTCCTATGTTATGGGCTCAAGTGACTTCATCTCTTGGTCAATGTCCTTACTAAAATGTGGCACCCCAAAATGAACACAATATTCCTGATATTATCTAACTAGATCAGAATACAATAGGACTATCACCTTCCTTGTTCTGGGCATTATATCTGTATCAATGTCTTTGTTCAGGTCAGCTTCTTTGCTGGCCATGTTGTCTCATTTGGAGTTTATGGTTCACTAAAAAATTTCCAATTAGAAAATGTATATAAAATATTATGCAAATTCTATAGGCTCTGTCATAGACCCTCTTTTCTCTCCTCCTGTGCTATTTCATCTGGCAACGTCATCCGCTCCCATGGATCTAGTTTTCATCTCTATGCTAATGATTTTCATATTTCCTTATCCAGCCCTAACCTCTCTGGGTCCTCCAGGCTCACATCTCCAGCTGTCTATTGCACATCTCATGCTGGATGTCCTGTAAACATCTTAAACTCAGTATGGCCAAACTGAACTTATTATCTTTCCTCTCAAACCCTTCCCCTTCCAAAATTCCTTATTACCACCTTGTTACTGAGGCTCCCAACCTAGCTGTCATCCTTAGCTCTTCACTCTCTTTCCCCTTCCCTCATTAATATCCAATCTGTTGCCAAGACCTGTCATTTTTACTTTCTTAACATCTCAGTAACAGTTTGCTGTTCTGTCTCCTTGCTTCAAGTCTCTCCTTACTCCAATACATCCTTCTACTCAGCTATCATGCTAAAGCACAGGTCTGACCATGTCACTCCCCCCCACCAAAAAACTCCAGTGGCTCCCCATTACCTACAGGATCAAACACAAAATCTTCTGCATTCAGACTCCATAGTTCATTCTCTGCATGTGGATAGCATTTTCCAACATGAGTCTTTTAGAGTTGTCTTGGATCATTGTAATGCTGAGAAGAGCTAAGTCTATCATAGTTAATCATTGTACAACACTGCTGTTGCTGTGTACAATGTTCTCCTGGTTCTGCTCACTTCACTCAGCATCAGTTCATATAAGTCCAGGTTTTTTTTAAATCATCCTGCTCACCATTTCTTATAGCACAATAGTATTCCATTACACTCATATACCACAACTTGTTCAGCCATTTCCCAATTGATGGGCATTCTCTAAATTTCCAATTCTTTGCCACCACAAAAAAAGCTGCTATAAATATTTTTGTACATGTTGGTCCTTTCCCCTTTTTTTATGGTCTCTTTAGGATACAGACCTAGCAGTGGTATTGCTGTATCAAAGGTATGTACAGTTTTATAGTCCTTTGGGCATAGTTCCAAATTGCTGTCTAGAATGGTAGGATCAGTTCACAACTCTACCAACAATGCATTAGTGTTCCCATTTTCTCACCTCTTCTCCAAGATTTATCATTTTCCTTTTCTGTCATATTAGCCAATCTGATAGAGTATGAGATGGTACCTCAGAGTTGTTTTAATTTGCATTTCTATAATCAATAGTGATTTAGAGCATTTTTTCATGTGATTATAGATAAAATGTTAGCATTATTAATAAAATGATTGAATTACCCCCAAAAAATAAATGCACATAAAGCATTTCTTTAATAATATGTTCCAAATTTTTTCTAGGAATTTTAGTTAATTCCACCAGTATATAGGCTTAAGACTCTATTCTCTACTTGACTGACATAAAAGGGTGGATAGGGAAAATATTACCTCACAAGAGGTAACAATATATACATCTACATAATTTTATCACTGAAAAAAGATCATATAAGACAATTGCTGAGCTTCCTTAATTTGGTTTAGTGTTTTGAGCTCCTGTCTCCACTTTTGGTAAGTTGGAAAAGGTTTTATAAAGGAGTTTGATTTGGAAGGAGGAGGAGAACAATCCATGGTCACTCTGTGGACGTGATGGGAGGAGGCTATTTTAGGCCTTAGGGTAATGAGGAAGGAAGGACAACAAGAACTAAGAGTGGGAAGACAGAAACAAAGCAAGTAGTGAAGCCTCAGAAAGCTGAGTATGGTGGAGAAGGAGAGGGAGGCTTCAGGAGGGGAAAGAAGAAAGTTGTGGCATTATAGAGAAGGCATGAACAAAGTCAAGCAAATGGAAAGAGACTAAAACAATCTGGGCACATTTTTTAAATTACTGCCATTATTACTATTTTAAGCAAGTCTAAAAGTATAGTAGTTGAAAGGTAACATGAAACATTTTTAGACTGATTAAAGAAGAAACAGAAAGAAGCAGCTAGGTGGCACAGTAGATAGTGCACCTGCCCTATAGTTAGGAAGACATGAGTTCAAGTTAGGCCTCAGACACTTACTGGCTGTGTGACCCTTAACCCCGATTGCTTCCCCCAAAAAAGAAAGAAAGAAATAGAAGCATAGGATCATAGAATATAGGAACTAAAAGAGACTTCAGAGGCCATCTAGATCAGATGTGTCCCATTAGGGAATGTTGCTGAACCAGATTAAAATGTAATTGGGAAATATTTAACGAAATAAATTAAAACAGAATAGAACATAAATAATATTAATACATGGTTTTCTGAGACACTATGCTATTCAAAGAAGTCTTTATGTATGGTTTGGTGGCCCCAATTTCTATTTGAGTCTGACACCGTTGATCTAGGTTATTCCTTCAATTGATAGTTACAGACACTATGATTTGGAGAGGGAAATCTATTTGCCCAATGTCATACAGAAAAGTAAGGGCAGATCCAGGACTGAAACCCAAATCTCCTGATTCCCATTCCATTGTTCTTTTTACTATTCCACACTGCCTCACTGCCACAGATTTTTTTCCCTTTTCCAACTAATGAAAAAACAAACACATTCAATCCTCAACATTTGCCCATTTAACTTTCGCCCTTTTAGCTTTCAGGACTTGGGTTGGTGCACATTCCCAGCTAGAGGAAAAAATGAGAGGCCCAATGCATGCAAGTTTGTGCATCAGCTGGTAGGGACTTCACTGGACTTGTTCCACCCTACCATTGCAAAGAGCTCCCTGCATTCATTGCATATTTTCATTGTTTGCCTCCAAAACTCAAGTTCTGTGTTACAATTATGCCCCCAAAGCATAGGGCAAGTCTTTTGGGCTCTAAGTCCAAGCGTGCAAAGTCAGTGATGAGGCCTAGTGAAAAAATAAAGGTGTTAGATAAACTTTGGGCTAGAATGTCTGCAGCTGCTCTCTGCCCAAGTTTGGTGTTGATGGATAGACTATTCGTTATATCTGCAAAAAGGAGGACAGGACTCATAAAAGCAGAGTGATGAAGGAATTGAAAAAATGGAAAAGCAGCTAAGTTTGTGGGTTAATGAAATAGTGGTCTCTTCCACAAGGAGCACAAGCATCCCTGCAGGGCTTGGCAAGAAGTGGTGCCTGGCCTGCCCGGCTGCCAGGGGGAAGTACTGCTCTGACCTGGTTGGGGACTCACCCCAAGGCACGAGCTTTTCATCTGGGAACAGTTCAACCACATAGCCAAAAGAGAGATTAGAGTGGCAGGTTGCCCCTTTCCCTTTTTTACCTCAGGGTTGTTCTGACATTACTGCCCTTGAGCTGCCTCTACTCTTTCTTGCATTTTGTGGATTATTTCATGGGTAGTGGGTTAGGAAAAGTACATATTTTCAGAATTAATGTTTTATCATAAAGAATTATATGCAGAAAAGTGTATTTTCAGCAATC